TTTCATTACAGCTGTCAAAACTTTAAAAGAACAACTCGAACGAAAATTAAAAAAATCTCAAAGATCAAAGCAGATCTCAATTTAATTATTCTCTGTTTACTGGCGAAATATTTTCTTTGATATTTCGTGTTGGTTTAATTCTTTTAATCATTCCATGTTTTAACTTTTTAAAGTTTTTATTTAACAGTACGAAGTGTTAGGAAGAAAATCCGACACTGTACCGGTACTGGCACAACACTAGCTTTACTAAAATGTCGACGTTTATGTCCCCTCACTAATGATTCTGACACTTCACTTTGTAATGAAAACGCCATTCACGCCAAAGGATTCTAATTAATAATGTCTAAAAGTTATTATCTCCAGAATTCATCCAAATCTATGCAGTCTGCATGTTTTTGGATGAAATTTGAAACAGAGTTACAACCAGGAATAGCGCAAAATATCATTAATTTTATATTTAATTTTACGCAAATGCAGTCGCGGGCGAAAGCTAGTTGCTTAATACCAAAAATATTCAAATAACAAACTTTATATGCATTGTTTTGTTAAACCATTGTATAAATAATTCAGTGGTCAATGAAATGTAAGAATTTTTATTAGCAATCCTGTCGATGCAGCTTTATCGGTTTTTTACGATACGGGCCGCTAATAAAACGGTTGTAAATATAAAAAAACAAATTGTACAAATTTTTATCTAACAAAGGTCTGTATGTTATTTTTTTTTTGTTAAAAATGTTAATCAAATTTTTACTTGATTTGAAATAAGCAAATACTCTTTTAATGTTCCAATATCTTAAAGCTTCTTTTGATCGCCATTAACTAAAAAAAAAACATTAAACCGAATTCAAAAATCTTTTACCAAAAATGTTTTTTTTATTCTGACATTTCAAAGTCTTTATTAAACATGATTATTACTTTTCATACGAACTAAAAATTACTAAACTTAGAAATATCTTAGTAAAATTCCTACTGATTAAACGTTTACGTAATAGTTATCTAGTTATTATCAAACATAATTTTCAGTATTGTAACAGGAAAAGGATACAAACAATTTGTAATAATGGAAAGGCAAAGCCCTTAATTTGCAGACGGTCGCCTGCAGAATAACAATCAGCTAATGCCTATATAAATTAACAACATCCTTTTACAACACTAGAGACCCGGAGAAAAGACTTATGTAGGTAAACCTTAGTATTTATCTCAGGTATTTAGTTCTATAGAACTGCGTCCCAATAGTCGTAGGCTGTTAGGAATAAAGGTAAAATATTGTCCAAAAAGTAGTGTAATAAAGTTGAATTTGAGCCACAAGATGTCGCTATTCTTAATTATTAAATGGCGCTTTAAAGTTTGAATACTTACTGGTTAAAACAATATAGGTTAGTTTTTATCATTAATATTGAAGTTAATTGAGTTTCTCAATTTAACCAAGTTTGTGTTTCAGTGACATTATAATATGTTATTAATTATAATATATAAATAATTAATGATAATTCTTAATTATTATTAATTAATAATTAATTGTTAATTGATTAATGATGATTAATTAATTAATTATTTATGGTATATTACGAGAATGGGAGCATATTAACTACATTATTTGTCATCTCAAAATTATTTTTCATTCAAGGCAATGAAAGTATTGTTATAACGAAAAGCAGTTATTGTCACATGTTACACCCATGAACACTTTACTGCCAACTCGGCCATTTGTAATACATTACATTAATGGCCAACATAAATGCAACGTGTGCATTTTACTGGTAAATATTTGGTTCATTGTAGAAGGCAAATGAAGAGAAGATTGGTCAACTACACATGCTGTGCACACTGTAGTGCAGCGCCCCTAGCGACCGTAAAGTACACTAACAAATCCCATACACACGCCGAATACATTCCGCAAATGTTGTGCAAATATTCGTGATAGATCCTTTAAGAAAATAGAGTAACATACTCGTATTAACGCTTGCACTCAAGCTGTGAGATACTTCTGTTAAGAAGAAGATCCGACACCGTGCCAGTGTACCGGCAGAACACTAGACTTATTAAAATGTCAACGTTTATGTCCCCTCACTAATCAATCGGACACTGACTGGGTTACGAAAGCGCGCAATTCGCGTCAAAGCATTTTAACTTATAATGTCGAAAACTTCACACATTTGTTATAATAGTCATCATCATCATCATCATCATCATCAGCTCGCTATACGTCCCCACCGAGGAGCACGGAGCCTACCCTACGTCAAGGGTGATTAGGCCATAGTCAACCACGCTGGCCAAGTGCGGGTTGGTTGACTTCACACATATCTTTGAATTTGTTCTCAGATATGTGCAGGTTGCATCACGATGTTTTCCTTCATCGTAAGAACGTCGGATAAATGTATAATACATATGTAAATCGGAAATCGAAAAACACATTGGTACATGGCGGGATTCGAACTCAGGTCCTGCAGATTGCAAGTCAAATACTTGACCCCTGAGCCACTGACGCTCTTTATATTAGTATGTAGTCATTATTAACATTTGGTATTGTCCCATCACACACATGAAATCCTGCGTCTCCACTTGGAATATTAATCAGCAATGACTCGCAGGCGGTAGTAAACTTTTACACTCCTGCAGGGAATCGAAAAACGTAACGTCGTATAGTTTTATTCGGCAATGGAGATTTAAGGCTCTTACTTTTATATCAGTAGATTACTTCATTCTTACACCATGGTGCTAAAAACGAATTTGTTCCAGTCGAGGACTTTTATTTCAAGCCCACTTCGACTTATTGCCATGACCATGGTAATTATAATTTAAGTAACACAAGGGATGGAAAATTGTGATTTATAAACTCAACGCGAGTGACTCCACACGGTCGCTAACCTCGTATAAAACAAATGAAAATTTTAACCAAGCTTTTTATCTTGGATATGATAAATGGCAACATCATATTAATATCCTTTGGTATTGCCAATAAAAAAAAATGTAATACGTGCTCAATAAAGTTGGCAAAGTTGCTGCGTCAAAGAGATTCGATTTTGTCTAAACTCGACTGTATGGCGGACATAAATCAAAGGCCAACACGTGAGAGCCAAACCTTGCCAGGAATATTTTATGGACATAGTACTGATTTAAAATCTTAAAATAATTAATTGTGCTAAAAATTCTGTTAATAATTATTACATTTACAATGAGCAACTAATCTTTATCTTCCTTGGACAGAAAAAAAAAATTTAAAAAGTGTTTTTAAGAACTTAAATCTTATATATAAAATTGTCGTGTCACAATTTACGTTCCCATACTCCTCCGAAACGGCTTGACCGATTCTCATGAAATTTTGTGAGCATATTGAGTAGGTCTGAGATTCGGCCAAAATCTATTTTTAATCAAGCGGGCGGAGTCACTGGCGACAGCTAGTAACTATAAAAAATTACGTACTTAGTAACTGATAAAGTACAACAGAACAATACTCATCTGGCAAGATAAGGCTTAGGCAGTTTTCTAGTTTAAACAAGACTCAGTATTCTGTAATAGCAAAGACAGTTTTTTTTCAATTTGAAATGTTTCTTGGAAATATATCAAAACGTGGATAAGATTAAGGTAATCGATGTAAAACTCTAAATAAATTTAATATCTGTTTAATAGTATTTTATATTTTAGTCAATGTTAAAAAGCTTTTAACCATTTAATCTTACTTTTAGTAATATAAATAGATGGATGGATGGATATTTGTTTGAAAGTATCTCCAGAACGGCGGCATGGATCTCACTGAAATTTGACATAGATGTAGAACATAGTCTAGAAGAACAAGTAGGCTACTGTAATTAAGATTTTTTTAACTCTACGCGAAAGAAGTCGCGGGCGACAGTTAGTATACACATAAAATCCTAAATACCATAAGTATCATCCTAGTGTAATTATTAAAGTTAAGGTGCCTTATATTCTATTAAAATTATCAACAAAAAGTTCTGTTCGTTCGATTAATAGAATTTAATTTCACAAAACATTTTCCTTTGGAGTTCAAACGAAAATTCGAAGAACTTTAACACGATGCTCTTTGATTTAGCGTAGATTATTTTTCTGTTCACGACACTTGAATGTTTTTTGCTTTTGATGTTTCGCTGAAGATTACAAACTGTTTTTATCAACGCATCAAGTGTGAATCAAATTCAATTTCGATATATCTTTGTGACGAGCCATACAAACATATTTTTCTATTGCAAACAAAATTTGAACAAACATACCTTCTTACAATCTTACTAATATTATAAATGCGTATAATTGGTTGTACGGATAGACGGATGGATGGTTGTTTATTAGAAGATATCTCCAAAACGGCTGCCTGAATCTCACTGAAATTTGGCATAGGTGTAGAGCATAGTCCGGGAAAATCACATCGGCTACAAATTACGTTTTTTTTTAATTCAACGCAGACAGCGTCGTATGCAACAGCTAGTTTAGTATAAATAGTATTTTTCTTAGTATTATAAAATAGATCGTAAAAGATTATATATTAGCAGTAAATGACAGGATTGTTTTCATGGTAACCCGTAGTTGGCGGATTTAGATGAGCAACTGTTTTGTATGGGGACAACAGCGTGACACTCGATTGACATATCCGAGTCAACGAGCACGGGATCTCGCATGAGTGGTCACACATTAAGGATTTAATGGAGCTTGCCACCTCTAAATTCTATAGTTGACAACAAGAAATATAGGACATTCTAATACTACTCCAGTTTGCATAGCGAATACATACTTAAACTCTTAGGATTTACTCCAACTCGATTTTATTTAATATTGTCACGATAATATAATTGTCGTTATAAAATATTACATTGGCTCTGTCACAAGACTTTATTAAAACCAAATTAACCATAGTTAATCGTAAAATTAAAAAAAAACAGGAGTTTCCACGACACCATTCGTTTACACTCAATCTCTCCTATTAAACCTCAACAGAAGACAGCCTCTTCTCTTGACATTATTGGTTAGTTGGTCCAGAGACTTCTTAATATCATTGTCCTATGAAATTGCGAATTAATTCTAAGTTACGTCATTACTCAGTAATAAAAAATAAAGTACTTTTAATAAATGTAACAACTCTATAAAGATCTAAAGCGCATAGAAATCGAATCACATACTCCTTGATTTTGTGAAGCTACCACACGGAATACAAATGAGTCGGTGTCCTGTATCGATCCGCCTGTAAAACTTTATAGTACCGACCCTTATTTCGGAGTAATCGCAAGTGTACTTTGACACGACCCTTTTTTCTTATAACACTTTATTCCAGGATGTTAACAGTTTGATACTTCCAGTCTTACTTTTTGCTGACTAATTTCTCAAGACGTAGGACAGAATTTTAATACAAATCAAATATATAAACGCTCAAGTGAAACCAGTAGCGGGAAAGTATTTAATATTGTTTAACTTTTCATGTTACACTGCATTTAAACATAAACAACTTATTGGTAAAGATCTATCATTGGTAGTCATATCTAATTGTACATGTGAACAACTTCTCCTAGGAAAGAGGGAAGCTGTGGAGGTAAGAATCTCAAAGAATCCCAACAACGTTTTTTATCTTCTTCATTTTCACTGTTACCCACTTCTTCATTTGCTTTATTTTTATTTTCCATATCAAAGATGTTTCTAGAACCTAATTCACTTAACTCATTGAATTCACTATTATGGTACACACAAGACATCCCCGAGGTTGGTTTGATCACTATATGCGGTCTAGTTTTATCCGATTTAATAGAATTTCTTTTCCCGCGTATAGTAAGTGCGATATCTTTGCTGGAGGATTTCATTGTACCAATTGTTTCTGGTTGAATAAGTCTAGAAACTTCATGATATAACATAGTCATATTTGAATCGAATTCCAATAAATCACAGGAATCATTCTCATTTTGTACTATTGTTTTAGTTCCAACTAATTTGTTTTCCATTTGTCTATTCGGTGTATTATGTAAATGTGAACTGTTAACTGAAGCAACATCTTTGATTGATCTTTTCTTCAGCTTAGAAACATAGATATTGCTGGAACGAGTGAATTTCAACAATATAGGAGCCTTGGAACTACGTCTTCTAACGAATAAAATTATACTGTCAGACACAGTGGATTTAATTGGTAAAGACTTTGATGAATCTAAGAAACTTTTTATGTTTTTAATAAAATTCGCTTTTAAATCCTTGTATAAAGGAGTTTTTCCTAATGATTTACCAACTTGATTTTGTTTTGTTAATTTTTCAGGTTTTTTCGATGATGAAAATTGATTCTCATATATGTTGTATAGTTGGTTTGTTACTTGGTAGAATTTTGTTTTTGGTATATTAAGAACCAATTCTTTACAACATTTTGATAGTTTCATCGCTTCTTCGGATCCGGAAATAACTTTTTTAACTAAACTGAGATCACATGGTGCATTCGAAAGAATTTTTATGTTCCCCGAACGTGTTTTCTTTAAAATACCAATCTCTGTTTGTGGTTCAGTTTTACAGCATCCAAATTTCACCAGATGACTGCCAGACTCGCTTTTTCTCAGTGTCAGAATAGCTGTACTATCATCTTTGATTATGTTTTTAACTGTTGCTTTTAAACATTTTTCAAACTCTTTATCAATAGCGAGAATGTAATTTCGTGAAGGTGTTGATTTTAGTACTCCAGGAAAATCGTAAACACTATCGTCATTTTGTAAAACCTTTAACTTTGTGTATGTGTCGGGTAATAAAGCTAGCAATCTTTTATGAACTTGTTCCAATGGTTCCGTAGCAATAATCAGAACTATTCCAGATTGAGTTTTTCTCAATACAGCATTTGGTTGCATTTGATCATCTTTTTTATGTAAATTTATGTTAACTTGAGGCATCTTGTCTACACTTTTTTCAATTAATTCGGAAACGTTTTTATTTCCTTTGAAAAATAAACATCCTGGTATTACTTTTTTTAGCTTCATCATTCTATCAATACTTGAATTACGATAAAATTCAGATTTGAATTCTATTAAAATTTGACCGGAATCTGTTATTATTAACTTTGTTGATGAAGGTGGATGCAATTTACTTTCATTTTCTAAGACTTTCAGAAAATCTTTATCAAATTCAAGAACAGAGGCTCCGGATGGTGTTTTTGCTATTTTTAAAAAGCAATCGTTTAAACTAATTGTTATTGGGCATGTAGTCTGAACGGCGCGTTGGCTTTTATTTAACTTTTTTGTATCTGTAATTATTAAAAAAATAAAAACATATTTCTTTTATAATTAATCTCAATAATATAAATAAATATGAGAGTACAAAGCAAGCAGTCTCGATTGGAACATTAAAAGATTTTTTTTTAAATAACTAACAAATAGTACTGAAATTTCATTTAAAAACACAAATTGCTCATCTTCGGATCAAAATAAAACTTCTAAACTCTATATCAAGATTTAATAATTAATACATCAAATTTAATAAGGCATTTTCACATTTACTTGACGTTTCCTTGGTACCTTGATATGTTTTAGGAACACTGGATGAGATAAATTATGTTTCATTATGCAGTCGTTACTGTGGTATCAGAACTGATCACCGAACTCATTTGCTCTGCACGATCATCATTATAATTTCCCATCACTTCAGCGATAAGACGCTTTTTCGGCAGGCTACCTAGAGTGTAGATAAGTTCATTAATCAAGAAATGCATATTTTGTACTCCCATAAAATGTATAAATAAACAGATAAATACCTTGTTCATATTTCGAATGGCTTGCAGGATAAAAACAATCACAGTAGCGCTAAAAACAGAGATAATTTTAAAAACTTATAAAAGAATTCATTTGAAACTCTTTGTATACACATATCTACCAAATAATTCACATTACTAACACTGAAAACGAAATTGCAGTACAATAGACTACATATGTGAAATTTCTGTTTAGTGAATTTTGCATTACGATGATTTATTTAGGCAGATTTTTATCTGTTTCGACATCATCATCAACCTGCCCTTATACCTATCGAGGGTCGGCACAGCATGTACTACTCCTCCATACATCTCTATCAGCCGTCATATCCGAGTCTACCCCCTTCTTACGCATATCCTCTTTCACACAGTCATTCCATACTTTTTTTGGTCTTCCTCTACCCTTGTAGCCATCCACATTCAATCTCATTACTTTTTTGCTTATATCATCATCATCCCTCCTCATAACATGTCAAAATCACCATTTTTATCTGTTTCGACATATTTATCTTTAAACGTTTGTCCCTCTCATTTCTTTAGAAATATAGAAATATATACCTGATCCGTCTGATGCGGTTTCAATTTAGGTTTTGGAATGTTAGAATCTCTCGTTGGTATTGTGCTAGATATCTCCGGTTCCAATACACAAGTTGCAGTTCTCATATTTTTCGACATTTTGCAAGTGGAACCGCTGCAAGTGTCACATCTCGCTTTCGAGATTTCATTCATCATCTGTTTGAATTTTTCATCTTCTTTACCACATTCTGGTCCACAAATCCTTTTATCTTTATACGGGCATAATTTCTTGTTGTCCTGTAGAAGTAAATCTATTGAATATTTCAACTCTCGGCCAACTTAAGAATATAGAACCCAATCTTGGTTTATCCACCAGATTATTAAGAACAAACCAAATGAATAAAAGAAAACAGACTTAAGGCTGTAAATCGAACCAGAAAGTGCTTAAAATTCTTATTCATATTACTACTACGGGATCACGTCAACACATGCGCATGTGCTTAATTTGATGAATAGGATATTTTTGTTTTTTTATTATTCATTCGAATGAAATTCATTCAACAGGCGACTTTGGCGATCTCTTGTGTCGGAGGCCAAGACCCACTTTGGGTCGATGCGCCAGCGGAGTAAGTAAGTATTCGAATGAAAGTATTAAAGCTAGATATATTTATGTTAAAGTGTTTACATCCTCGTAGTCGTCGTCCACAGGGCAGGGCGAGGGGTCATGGGGCGCGGGCGGGGATTTCTTCGTGCAGATGCAATCCTTCGGACCCTTAGGGCAGTTACATTCACTGGTTCCTCCCCAACGATAACATGGCGCCTGATTGTATATTATTAGATTATTAGCAAACATAATTCGGAATTAAATTTATTATTAATGTCATTGATATTACCTTTTTGGATATTGTCCCTTTGTCGACTTTTTCTGGCTTCGAGACTTGTACTTTTTGCAGACAAATCATCAACTGCCTGTACATATCTGGATCCAGCTGGATTAATAAATGAATTACCATTATGAATATAGATTTATTTACATTCAGACTATTTCTTCATAATCATAAAAAAATCCAATTCCAAAAAGTTCCTTGTTCCTATTGATTTACAAAGACACTGCATGTTTCGTTATTCTCTTATTACTGAATTAAATAGCAAATACTTACTTCACATCTAGTTTTAACAGCGCCGCCAACTATAGTCAGATTTAAATGTTTCTTCACTGCAGTCAGTATAAATTCTTGTAGCATTTTTCTTGTTTTATCGTCTAATTTACCGTTCCTACTTCTCTTCAAACATTCCAAAATCTGCTCAGCTACCGCCTTCCCGCTGCCTTTTTTTATTTGTCTCTCTAATACGGTGTACATATTTTCAAACACATTATCCAAAAACTTTCTTTTCACTGTTGTACAAATGCAATCCATTGTATGGTCAATACCACAATGATCACCTAGCAAAGCACAACTTCTTTCCTCCAAACATTTAGGACAGTCGCTACAAAATCTATTTATTTCAACAGTGTCAGTACATTGGTTACATTTACTACACTTTGTTTGTTGGTCGTGTATATCTTTATCTAGATTCTGAATTTGATTTTCAATTGATTTTTGTCTTAAATCACACTTGTCTCTACATTTATCACGTGCTTGTAATAATAATTCGATTTCTGATGACAAAGCTGCTCTCTGTAAGAGTTGTGATTACGTGTTAATTATTAGTACCTGGATGACCGATGATTTTTTTTAATTGTGTTTTTTGGAAATTATATTATATTTAAGTACGAATTACTAATAAAATGATGAAATATGAATAATATTTTTCAATCTTACCGATAGAAAAAGTTAAGTTTATGTTTAAGTTGATTATCGATAAAACACGAATAAAATGACATTTTCTAAAAATGATTCCTAGCTAGATCGATTTATCGCCCCCGAAACCCCCTATATACTAAATTTTATGAAAATCGTTGGAGCGATTCCGAGATTCCAATTATATATATATATATATAAATATATAAAAGAATTGCTCATTTAAAGATAAAAGATAAGGGATTCACTGTTTCTTCTTAATATTATAAAGCTTAACCCCGAAAAAAAAAACAATATTTATAGAGCAATACGAAAATTTGAAGTGCCTCTCAAACAGATTACAGTAAAATTTGGACTAAAGATTGATTAATTTATGGAATAGCGTATGTCTACTGATATTTTTTTTAATCCACGCGGACGATCACACGTGCGTCTACTAGTATAACATAATTCATATCCACACCTCCGCTCTCAAATCTTCATTTTCTAACTTTTTCTTTAATAAAACACCGCAAATCTTTTGCAAATCATCTCTTGCTTCCTTAATGATTTTTGATCCTTGAAATTCTTTTTCTTTTTTTGTCTTGTTTTCCTCGGCGACAACTTTTTCCAAATTCTTTATATCTTCCCTATATTTTGCAATTTTTTTCTGTCAAATGGTAAAAACGAAAGATATAATTTTACATATATATTTTAAGAAATAAAATAATGAATTTATTACAACAATTAAGCTATACAGCTCCCTGTGTCGTCACTCGTATCATATTCTGATCTGTTTTAGGATTCATATAATTCGTAACATCATTTTAAGTAACAAGGTATACCTCAAGTTTTCTAGCAATACAACATTACGAACTATTTCTATATTTATCAAAAACGTTACTTATTTCTCTAATATTATAAATGAAAATGTTTAGATGGATGGATGGATGTTTGTTTGAAGGTATCTCCAGAATGGCTGAACGAATTTTGATGATATTCGGCATACATATAGAACATAATCGGAAAGAACACATGGGCCACTGATTCTTTTTTTTTAATTCCGCGCGGATGTAGTCGCGGGCGACAGCTAGTAGATAAATAAACGATCAGATACAACTTACGTCTGTTGCTTCTCTTTTTGTAACCATTGATTTTTTCGTTGCTTCAATTTCTTTTTTATTATTTTCTAATCTGTTTTGCAGATCTTTTATTTCTGTATCAAGATACTTAATATCATTAGTTTTTTGTGATGTTTTGTCTTTAACATCGGATCGATATTTATCCACTTTTTCAATTTTCCCTTCTAGTTCTTTCATATTTTCACGCCATTTCTTAGTGCTTGTCTCCACTCCTCTTAGCTAAAAGTAACAAATAGCATTTATAGAACAAAATATAGATTCATAAAACGTAGAAACGAAATAAGAGAACCTCTTTTTCGAGTAACTTCTGTCTCTCAAATGTCTCAACCATTTTTTTCTTATAAGTATCCTCCATAGACATCCACATAACATCCGCCTCTCTTAACATTCTTATGCTCTCTTTCTCGCGCTCTTCTAATTTTTTAATCGCATCTTTCAATTGCTGCTCAGTTTCCATTAATTCCTTAAGTTTATCTGAGCATTTCTGATCGAAATTCGCGGCCTGTCAAAATTCCAAAAAAAAAATTACACTAACATTTGATTAATTTGTAATTAAAACCTTAAACACTTCTAGGTTGTTGAATTAATTACTTAGACTTAAAAAATAAGTCAAAAGGACTATATTATGCTTCAATAAGTATCGTGACAGCACAGTTAAAGATTCCAAGATAGCCGTTTCACTTAAGGAAAGTGAACAGCATGCGTAGAATCATATTAAATACTAGCTGTCGCCCGCGATTCCGTTCGCGCGGAATTAAAAAAAAAATGGTCGCAGCGTAATGTTATATAGCCTAAAGCCTTCCTCTATAAATGGACTATCCGACAAAAAAAGAATTTTTCAAATCGGACCACTAGTTCCTGAGATTAGCGCGTTTAAACAAACAAAAAACTCTTCCGCATTATAATATTAGTATAGTTAAATCTCTATCTCTGCTAAACTTTTACATTCGTTAGTATTTATAAATTGATTAATATTAACTCTATAAGTATACCTCTTCAAAATTACACAGAACTGAACAGATAGGTGTACTTTGACCACAGTCAGTAACAGAGCTTATAGGAGTTGGAATTATGGGAGGTTCTTCTTTGCAACTACTGAAAACGAAATAATATTATTATCAGATATATCATGGCTGATAAGAATAGACTTATATTTAAAAAAAAAATCTTAACCTATTCTTAGTCTCGCCGCATTTTTTGCAAGACTTTTTACCTCTGGCCATATAACAAGTCGTGCATTGAGGTCTAGTATGGGTTTCATAGTCTTCAACCCCTGATCTTTGGGGAACCGTATGGAGATCCGTTTTCTGCAGAGAAAAAACTATTCAGATACTAAAAACAAGTAGATAAGACTATATAAATACGATAACCATGAAACAATTAATGTGTTTCATTAGCTTAGTAATAGGAACCGAAGCGTTATTTTTGTCTTTGCTTGCACATAGACAATTTAATCCAATCGGGACTCTCTATGGTAAGTTATTCATTATGATGTCACTAAAATACCTCATGCCTTATCGTCCTCTCTCACCTTTGGATTAGAATTGGAATCATCTTTGAGCATATTCCAAAATTCGCACATAAGCTTGAGGCCACGATCACTTTTACAGCCACATTCACAATTCGGATTTGAAGACCTGCTTTCGGTGACCGACCGTAGGTCCCTGATTACCTCGTCCAATGCACGATAACGTTTCAATAAACAACTCGGCAGTTCCTTCATCTCGCAGTGTTTCGCGTTAGCTGCTAATATGACATAGTTAACATAAATAAAATTGTTATAATACTAAAAATGAGGACGGATAATAAAAGGTTCAACAAACTATGCATCTGCAACATATGCTTATCAAATCTCTTCCTGTTTTTGAGATAATATGGGAGTTTACACCTTGAGAATTATACGATTGTGAAAATTACAATCAGCATGGCATGTCTATGAAGTGGGCCAAACGGATATTGATGGACCATGTCATAATAATTCATCTTAAATATTACAAACTTAGTTATTAGTTTTTATATATATTATTTGTTACAGTTTTTTTTTAGAAATTGACTTACTGGATTTAAATAACGGTTAGTTTTATTTATGTATGAAACGATACTTTTTTTGTAATTATTTATTTGAGCAAAACACGAGAAATTTTGAAGCTTATTATTCCTTAGAAAATGACAGAGAACTTGACTTTTTTCATTTCTTTGATGTCAACTAAAAACAGAATTAAAACTAACAGTGATGTAAAAACAAGATCTAACTAAAATATGAACTATATCATAACAAAGTATACCGTTTTATATGGATTTAATTATTTTATTTATTCTTTTTCTCTCATCGCGATCTGATAAAATTATATGTACTGAAAGTATAACATAGCGTACTTTATAAACAAACTCTTAAAACGTCACTAAAATGAATTCGTCAACGTCATTTTGTAGCGGATGAAAATGACATTTAGATACTTTTAGCGATAATAAAAAACAAAACATTAATATTTTATTTGTATATTGATATTAAACTGGGGCGTTATATTAAAAGATGTATATTCATAAGAGGACCTATTTTATTTTTATATGAAAACACTTTGTATTTCGCCAATAAGTAAATTTGATTTATAGCATACCCCATTATTATTAACAAATGTTGACATTGTTAAAACAGTGATAATGAGACGCGCATAAAATAAGAGAAACATTAAGATCATTCATTGATAAGAAATATCTTACATAATTATTAAATAGAATCGTAAGACTGGACAATGTCGGAATTTGGTGCTGTAAGTTATACAAATTATCTACGTATTCCCTAAATTAAATGTTTACCAATATGTTTAAATACACCACCACGTTATTTACTTTAAAACAGAATTTTAATGACTTTAAATCATTTTGATGAGATAGTAAATATGTTAAAGTTTAGCCGTGTTAAATATCAGTTTAGTATAATGTCTCACGAAAGTTTGAATAATTTAATAGTAAATATGTTGTTTAGTAGTAAATATGTTATTACTTAATTATAATGAGAACCTACCTAATTTGTTGCTTTTTAGGAACATCCAAGGAACCTAATACCTGAACTGTGCAAGCAGTTCTATCACTTAGGATGGGTGACTGGCACAGGAGGGGGAATATCTATAAAAGAAGGGTAAGCAGTCTATTATAATGTGTGCAAAAACATGTCTCTGTTTTTTGTAAAAAAAATGAGAAGAGGGTAGTATATTGTAGTAAAGGCATAGGAAATCCGTAGTAGCAGTAACAGTTATAGATTAATAAAGTATTCATTGTAGAAAATTCTCACCTCTGCATATTAGAATAATAGAGTATGCATTCCAAATAATACTTTTTTTTATTTTAGAGAGAAAATCTACATAGCACCATCTGGAGTACAGAAAGAGAGGATGAAGCCAGATGATTTGTTTGTGCAAAATATTAATGACGAAGACTTAGAACTGCCTCCACCGGAGAAAAAGTAACTAAAAATATGTTTATATAATATAATTTTTATGAGTATATTTCAAATGATGGTTATTTTTAAGACCTTAGTTTTTATAAAGTACATTTTAAATATAAAGACCTTAAGTTATATTTATTGTTGAACTTAAATAACTTATATTGCAATGTAAAAAATGTTATTCAAACAAAGATCATAAACACTACAGACATTGTCTTTGTATTTTACATTAATTTGCAGCCTCAAGAAGAGTCAATGTACTCCATTGTTTATGCTGGCTTACCGGTGCCGCGGCGCGGGCTCAGTTATTCACACACATTCACCGCACGCCGTGCGCTGCACATTGCTATACGATAAGGAATTTGTTATCACACACCAGGAGATGATCAAGGTGAGATAAAGGTAATAGTTATACATCTAATCACTCAGCGCCTTAGAGCCTACCCTGAGTTGGTAGACATTTGAGATATCTTTGAACTTCTGCACAGACATGTGCAGATTTTATCACAATGTCTTACTCAGCCATGAAAACAATAAATTTGTTTTTTTGTTGACAGGAAAGTACTTGTGTCCCTGAAGTCCAAATTCAAATATTGGATATTTGTACTTAATTCACTTATAGAACAATACAAAGAAAAAATATACTTCTATATTTGACTTTGTAAATATTAATTTAATTATAGTTTTAATATTTCAGGGTATAAAAGATTCGCAACTAGGCCGTTACCTTCGTTATGATGAGAAACTAGTGGTTCCTGTAATAGAGAATACACCATTTGAGCGGGATCTTGCTCAGAGTTTGGGAGAGGCGATGGAGAAGTACCCCGGGACTTGCGCTGTGTTAGTACGTAGACATGGAGTCTATGTGTGGGGGGATAGCTGGCAGCAGGCAAAGACCATGTGAGTACTACTATGCATAATTCAAAATTAAAGCTTATATTTTGTAACCCGTAGTAGAGGCTAGCAACATCTTTGGATGGATCTTTGTGGCACAAATGCACCTCGTCTGGTGTAACACCATGACCACACACAAAACAGGCTTCAAGTTCTTCCGCATACAGTCTGATGATGTGGTGCATGAGACCTAATTTTAATCTTAATGTATGTATTTTCCTTTTAGGATGGAATGCTATGATTACTTATTTGAAATGGCTGTAGAAATGAAGAAATTGGGTCTAGATCCGGGATTCAATCCAGAAACTTCTAAATAATATGTATAACTATATTTTATATTGCAGTTGTTTTTTACAAAGATCAAACATTTTATTAAATAAAAGATATTGTTTAGATAAAATATGTATATTTTAAACCTAACACATAAATCTGGATAGGTCATCTAATAGAGTACTTTTATTTTTCCTTTCATTCTGTCTGTCTGTGTCTCTTTCTGCTGTTAACTTTTTTCTAGTTATACCGTGAAGGCTTGATGATGTTTTCTTAAGGATTAAATCCTTTATTTCGTCTAATTCTGCCTTCGTGAGTTCAGTGTAGCAGTAATCATTGTTTAAGGCGTCTTGTTTTGCCATACCATATAAAAACATTGGATCTAAATTTTTGTTTTTTCTTATTCTATTCGCTTGTTGATGTTTTAAAACCCTTTTAAGACCTTCGAGATACGATTTGTTTTCGGGTATTTTTGCGTCGATTATTTCTATACCAATTTCGCCGCCGTATTTTAAATCTTCATCCGTTATGTTGTTATTACGTTTGAAGGCAGACGGAATTGTTGGAATCTCTAAAAAAAAATAAGAAGAAATTAGGAAGTTAATAAAACATCAAAAAAATCTTGCAATAACTATTAATCCTATTTCGCGGATTTTTTTTAAACTACAAAACTGATCAAGATATCGGATTAAAAATTTAAAAAAAAAAATTGTACCTGACAAGTTAAACAGGACAAAATTGTTAAGATTCAGAAAAAAAAATTAAGCACCACATTACAACCTGTATTTAAGTACCCAATTACCTAAATAGAAGCAAAATACTTTGAAAAAAAAAACAAGTGGTACAACGAAATAATTAGGTACCTTTTTCGATCTCGCAAAATTTCCTAACCGCAAAATAAGCTCTCAGTGTCTGCATAGGTTTTGCGCAACTGCCGTACTTAAACACATCGTATTCCACGCAAACTATACGTTCTTTTAGTCTCCTTATTTCTAAATTCTCCTTTTTGTATCTGGCAAACTTCTCAGCAATTATTATTACTCGAGGTTCGTTGTGAATGTGTACTCTATTTGAAGGAATAAATGTCTTTGATGGTCCTGAAAGTGTTAAAAAATAAACAGACAAGAAATGTTAAATATAATAATATATTTTGACACGATTTTGTGAGTTCACAGAAAATAGCGAGACGTCGCTTGATATGACGCATATCGTCGACTTTGTAACCAACTAAAAAACAGAAATATTATCAACTCACTTTGCGTTAGAACTTCGGCATCTCTATGCAAAGGAGTCTGTCGTATACGTTTAGGAAAATCGTAAATTTCCTTGTAAACACTTTGGCAGACACTCAAGGGATTTGAAGGTGTCCCTTCTGGTAATACGTTACGCAGCAAATGTTTTAGTTTCCATAAAAGATCTTTGATGTCTTGTGGTAAACAAGAGTCGGTTTGTTCCTGTGCAGAGTATTGTAAGCGCATCGGATGCTGGAACAAAAACTATTTACTTTTACAGTATACTAATAGAACAACTTAATATACTACTGTCGCCCGCGCCTCCGTCCGCGCTGAATTAAAAAAATCTTTATTAATAGCCTTTGTGTTCTACCAGATTATGTTCTACATCTGTGCCAAATTGCAGCGAGATTCATACAGCCGTTTTAGAGATACCTTCAAACAAACATTCATCCATCCATTCATACATCTTAACATTCGCATTTATAATATTAGTAAGAAAACTTATAATACTATAAGTTTTCTTACTAATACTACTTACTCGTACTTATACATTTTTTTATTTATATTAATAAGTAGGTGGTGGGTGGCTATAGAAATATGCCGCGCCCCCTTTTCTTTACATTTTGAGAGACCTAAAATTATGTTTTGCGCAGTGTCTCGTGCTATATTGCTAGCTGACAATGATGCCAATAAACTTTGGTCCCGTTTCCTGAATTTATTAAAAACGTACCTCGGGTTTCTCCTCACCGTCAGTTATTTGTTGTGCGTCTTTGGTATCTGGACTGAAGTAACAGCTTCTATTCTTCATTAATTCCAAACGAAATTTGTCATTAAAATTATTATCTGCAACTTTCTTATTCTTGGCAAACAATACTTTAGTTTGCACATCGTATTTTTTCGCAACAGTCCGACCTAAGCGATTGTTATTCTGCATTTTTATAAGATTTTAGATTTTTTTTAATTGTATATTGACTACATATTTGAATACTATTTGATTTGACATTGACATAAATTTCATAAATGAAAATTGACACATCGCGATAGAAATTAAAGAGGTCGAATAAAAAAGATTCTATTGCTTTTAAGTTAATTATCCTAGATCACACTGGCAATTATATAGCTACAAAATGTTGGATCTTAGATTTTTAATATAATCTTCAATAATTATTAATTAAAAATTATCAACAAGGAATAATTTTGTTTCTATATTGTCGACGCCTGAATTGGATCATTGTTTTTATGTTCTAATCAACTTCGTAAGGTAAGGGGTACGTTAATTTTGAAAACAAGGGTGATCCTTTTCTATTATTGAAAATATAAATTAAATTAAATCGTGTATTTATTATTTTATAATGTAAAAACCATCTAAATTATTATTGGTGTTTGAATCTTCATTTTAATGGACCACGGCACTTTTAGACGGCACATTTTATTCTCATAGATATTTGGTTGTATGAAATTGTATTGTGCATATCTTTTATCTGGAAAGAACATAAAAGATTGATTGGCTAAATTTTTATGTCAGTCAGTTTTTTAGTTATTTATGTAATTGAATCGAAACTAAGTATAGATCGACAAGGATATTTGAACGGGTGGGTATAAGTCAAACTAAATTTTGATAGCTCACTAGCTGTTACAAATGTTTCAAGGTTCTGTTTGTACTATAGCTGTTATGTTTTTTTCTTTTATGCCATTAACCTACCCATGTAGGTTTTACATATTTTCTGATAGAACTAACCGAGCAGCGCCTACCACGTCAGGCCAGATATCCTTGTTTAACTGTACCTTCATATCTTCGTAATTCTACTTTCGTGTTTTTATTTTAAAATACAACTTACTTTGAATTCACTTCGTGTTTAGTGTTTTGAAGTATATTCTCAATTAAAATATGACGATTGTCGTCGCAGATTTTCTTTTTCTTTGCACTCACGATGTCTGCGTAATTTAATGCTTCAAAATTTGAATATTTCACTGTATTTATAGTTCTATTGCAATCTTGCATGTTATCAGAAAATTCGTTTTCAATGATACTTGATTGTTTAAATTTAGGTAAGTCTTCAGCACGGGTTAAATAGTTTATATTTCCAGCCAAATTGTTATTTATTTTTTTAAAACCCAACTCAGTTCTTTCTTCTGTGTAAATAGTTTCACTATAGTTAAATTCGTTTAAATCATTAGTCAAATCAGTTTTACTGTAACATGGAAAGATTTGATTTTTTCTTTTATTTACTAAAACTGTTTTAGACCAGGAATATTTAAAATTTGTGAACGGTACATTATCTTCTTGACAATTCTCTATATTAGTAATATTTTCTTGTAATTTAGTATCACCATTTATGTTCCATTTGCTTTCCAATGATAAAACTTGCAATAAATCTTGACGTGTCATATTTCCCAGTTGACTAGATCGTAAATTTTTATGATTTTCTTCTGATTTAGTATCGTAATCCGAATTGTTTTTAAATGCATCAAAATCTTTATTTGCTTTTTGAAACTCATATAGCATTTTTAAAAGCTCCGATGTCAATAACTTTGCTTTAAACAAAATACTTCGTTCTTCAAAATAATCATCGTTATATTCAAATTCATCTTTACTGTCTTGAGTATTCTCATCCAAATTACCATTATCGGAATCTTCTGAGATACTGTTTTCATTTTCTTCTTTGTTTACATCAAAATCATTTAACAATGCTAAATTAGTTTTAGCAAAACATTCTCGAATTATTTGAATTCCTTCTTTGTGGCCAGTATTCGTACTGAAAGTATTTAAAGTGAAAGTTCCACAGAATACGCAAGGTTCGTTGACTTCTGTTTCTTGTTTTTGAATAGTATTTTCATTTGCTTCGCTCGTTTTCTTTAAGGAAATTTGTGAATTATTTTGTCTTGTTTGTTCCTCTTGGAAACTCCATGATGTAGAATCGAAACTATTGGATGATTCATTTTGATTTTCATGTTCAACATTGGTTTTAATTTCATCAATCTGCATGATTTCATTGACAAAATTGTTGACAACTTTATTATCGGATAAAGAATTTTTACTTTCATAGAAATTTAGCATTTCAGCAGAACACAAATTATGGCTCGGTTCATGACAACTATTTATAGCACGGCAACTACAAAATGAACCAGATAGATCGGAATTGATCTGTTTAATTTCATTTTTATCTCCGTTTACCATACGAATACAGTCATCGCAAGTATATTTAAATAAGTTATCACTTTCGTAGTGATTGCTGTTATACATTGGTGCATTTTCATTGACAGGTCTTGGATATTCACACAAAAGAGCAGGATACATAGACTGGTGACTTGTAAAAGTGGATGTGTTCTCAGACTTTTTTCCGCAGTGAGATGTTTGCGGTCTATCTTGTTCATTGTCGGCTTCGTTCTGAGTTTGCAGCTCGCCACCGCAGTAAATACAGCGACACACGTCACAGAAACATTTCGATCTGAATTTCACGGATTTCCAAACTCCGTTGTCAACAGTTTTAAGTTTTTCACAAATATCACATTCACAAGGACTGCATTGACATTTTGTTACTTCTATTTTTTTCACGTGATGTGTCGAGTAATGACTTTTTTCACATAGAGACGAGGAACATCTCATTCTGCTATTGCATTTTAAACATTTATTTGTGTCTTCACTCTTAGATTTCTTAGCTTTCCTAGCTTCCCTCTTTTTATAATCTTTTATTATTTTTGTCAATACAGATATAGTACAAGTTTGTTCGATTTGGTCAGTTTTACCTTTACTTTTAGTAATAAGCGCTCTATGAATGTCTATGTCTTTGGTGTCTTTTTCGAATGGTTTACTTATAACACTATTTCTACTCTCACATCCACAAGTTTCTCTTGTTTGTCGACAAGAATGACTAAAGCATATATCACATCGACAATTTGTCGTCTCTGCCATGTCGGTAGAGGTCTCTCTCATCAGATGTGGTGAGGTGGAGGGTATGGCGCTCCGACAATCGGCGCAATCGCAAGGTACACACGTACAATCGGTAGATTGCAAATGTTCTGTCACAGATCCGACAACAACCTTATTTGGCATGTTGAACGGTGACATACACTTGATGCACTGACAAGGTTTGCAAGAACATATTTCAGTTTGTTTATTATCAATATTTTTGCTTGATTTCGTTTTATAAAATAGCGGTTCATTTACTTCTGGATGTTTTAAGTAAGATTGCATGCTTTCTTTTAATTTGATAGTATACATTCTACATAGTTCACAATCGCAAGGTTTACAGCTACACACACTGCTGTGTAATTTCAATGAATCGTTAGTATTACGGTTGTAACCACTGTAAGTTTCTTTCGCTTCATCGTTGACTGGATAATAATTAAAAACGTTGCTGATTTTCTCATCATCATTGTCTTTCAAGTAACTTTTGCATTCGATACATTCGCAGGGTTTACATTTGCATACGTTTATATCGTTAGCAACGCAATCGCATACTTTACAGCTGCAGGCTTTATAAACTTTCTTTATTTTTTCTATAATATCTCTCAGTGATATATCATTGTATGTCGTGAGTACTTTATTAACGATGTAAGTTATAGGAGAATATTCTTTTACGTCGTTATTTTCATTGGTAGTTGAATTTATTTTACATTTATTCATTATTGGTATATCGTAACATTGCGGTTTGGCTTGCACTATGACATTTCTTTTAAATAGTCTTATACTTACGATATTTTTGTTATCAATCTTTCCTCTTGTTGTTGGAGTTTTAAATTTATTAACAGAAATCTCTTTAGTTATATGACATGGTATATTTTCAGTTGGAACGTTTAAACTCTCGTAGCATTCTTCGTCTTTATTTTTAGTTATGTATAAGCAACTTCCTAACTCTTGGCATGTGGGACAATTGCATTTGTTTAGTTCCCTGTTTCTTTTTGCGAAACATAATATTGATTCGCAACTACTGCACGAACAATGTGATGAACCGAACAGAATCTGTGATTGCAACGTCTTCGCTTCGTCAGACATTGTATACTAGTACTTTGGAATGCAGTTTTTATGATAATTCTTCTTGATTGCCTGACCTTGGTTACATTTTTTATTTTTTTCCGACTCTTGGCAGCAGGATGAGGTCGCCTGTTGGAAAATAAATAAAATTCACCGAAACCGTTTAACTTTTTTTAAATGATATCATTTTTCAAATTATAAACGGAAAAATTTATATCTCGTGCTGGTTTGTTAATTTTTGATGTCTGTCAGAATTGATAACAGCATGTAATGACATTTGTTCTTTTTAAAGGATTCGATTTAAAAAAAAACTGACCAATTTTCGAAAAGGCCAAATTGTAATAATCAATTAAAATAAGTTCGCATATGTTATTAGTATTCATCAAATCATGTTTAAAATAAGGTCTAAAGATGGTTATTGTTTATCTATAATTCAATTAAATTATATGACTCACCGTGGGTTTCCGAGGCCTTTTGGTCTTTCTTTATAAAATACATCGTCCTTCTCTTTTATCTTTAACAAAACAGTGATAACAATATACTTTAAACGGGGATTTTTGTGTCAGAAACCCACGGGTAATTTTGCTACTAGTAAAACAAACAAAAACCGCTAACATATTGTCTATTATTAAAAAAAATACTAAATTAAAATTTAATTACGAGTTATCTAGAACATTATTACTTAAAACTAACTAAATGTGAAATCAATTCTACAACTAAAAATTAACTAATAAAAAGGATACGAATTAAAAAACAAACAATTTTTAAATAATTATTTAATTCATCAATCTTTTCGTCATTAAAAAAAATGTAATACAATGAATTAGACAAGAATTACAAACATCATTTTCGATTCGTTATTAAAAATAAACGTTTCACAGATAATATAACAAATTATTTACAGAAATACGTCAAAACACGATTGGCACGGAAAGTTAAATTAAAAAAAAAACATCTGAGAAACATTTAATAATTCGTTAACTTATAATCGATTTGAAGGTACGATTTGTTCGATATGTTTAGCTAAAGCTTACATAAATTATTCCATATAATTAACATATATCAAGTTATATTATTATGGTACAGAGTATATACACGTTAATACGCTAAACTACGAAGGCACCAGTTTGAGGTCGGTGGAGGTAAACACCTGAAACAAATTAAATATAATTATTAACACAATCATCATCATCAGCTCACTATACGTCCCCACCGAGGGGCTCGGAGCCTACCCTAAGATAGGGGTGATTGAATATTAACACTTTTAACCTATTAAAGTCGGTAGCGCAATTTTGCGACTGAAATTTATATGTTATACCGATTTGTTTTCGATTTTTGAATTTCATAGGCACGTTTATCCGCTGTTACTGCTATTTTTTTTTTTTTTTTATAACAGAAGGGGGCAAACGAGCAGCGGGAACACCGAGGTGTTCAACGACGCCCATGGACATCAGCAATACCAGAGGAACCGCAGATGCGTTGCCGGCCTTTGAGGTGGTGATAAGCTCGCTTCTTGAAGGACCCTAAGTCGTAGCGGTTTGGAAATACCGCCGAGGACAGAGCATTCCACAACGCTGCTGTGCGAGGCAGGAAGTAAAGTAAGTATTTACGGTTAAGGAAAACATCTTGATGCAATCTGCACATATCTGAGAAGAAATTCAAAGATATGTGTGAAGTCAACCCGCACTGGACCAACGTAGTTGATTATTGACTATCATGCCTAACTTAGGGTAGACTCCGAGCACCTTAATGAGGACGTATAAGCTTACGACAACGCAATTTTATTTTTGCATTCAAATGTTTCTTATTCACTAAAAATAAATAAATAAACTTACACAACAAGTCATACTTGTGACTATACGTCCGTGCTCCAAACTATTGAGTTTGTACCCAACGCACAGGATGGACAATTCTGCAATAGATATAAAACATATTAAAATATAATAATGAACTTAATAAAGACGTTACAAACCGAAGAGATACTCACAACAATACTTTCAATGGCATTCGCCAGTTGCTCCTCCATTATTTTAACATCTCCGTGCTCCAAAACTTCCTAAAAAAAAATAATTATTGAAACCAAGTTTAACCACAGTTGCATTCGTCACATGACGCAATGCGTACCTCTTGACAGATGTTGACAGTTTCAGCGAGCGCGGGCGCAGCGGCGCAGAGACGTGCGGCGGCGCACGCGCAGCTGACACTGGCCAGCCGCGCCGCGCCCCGCACCACCCCCGCGTTACCACCCGCCCCGCCCCCCGCTCCGCCCACACCGCACACACCGCCACGACCACATCCTGACTGCGACGACAAGCCTCGTCTCCACTCCTACAACACACGCATTGTCTAAGTAAACGACACCTACTAGATCTAAATTATTATCCTACAGCCAAACGGTTTTTATAAGGCAACTTATCTTCATATCGTTATTGACTAGAGTGACCGCTGCTACCACTACCACTGTTGTCAGAAAGAATAACCAGAAAAAATCCTTACAATATTCAATTAGATGGGTTGTGGTTCTTACTAATCAAAAAGGTGACGTTACTTTTTTTTGTAACAACGAATTCACAAATGCCATAGGAATCGTCGTCAAGTGATTCATTTTGTTTTATAATCCAGTTTAACAACTACGAGAAGTGTGCTGATCGTAGAGTCTAACTCATCATCATCAACCTGCCCTTATCCCTATCGAGGGTCGGCACAGTATGTACTACTCCATACATCTCTATCAGCCGTCATATCCGAGTCTACCCCCTTCTTACGCATATCCTCTTTCACACAGTCATTCCATACTTTTTGGTCTTCCTCTATCCTTGTAGCCATCCACATTCAATCTCATTACTTTTTTGCTTATATCATCATCATCGTAGAGTCTTACTAAAGAATAATTTCGCATTAACCTGAACCTAATGTTTGTGCTGCTGTATTTATTAAATTGTATTTTTCATATCGGTTAATGATCGTGTCAACTAAACAAAAATATTGCACTGAAATGTGTTTTTTTATGTCGAAGCGTGCAGTATTAAAATAATAGCATGATGACGATGATAAAGATAAACGCAATGTTTTGTTTATAAAAATATGCTAAAATTGTCAAATAATTGGATTTTATGAAAACATAATTTTGCGTGCAATATATTAAGATTATTAATGACATTTTACCTCAACCATTAGTCAAAATTAGAGACATACGACTTTCGCTGTAAGTAACAAAATTAGTCACATAAATATCAAAATTCACTTACCTCTGTTTCAGTCTTCGCATCCGCGTCTCCTATCGACCTGATGAGCTCCTTGGAGATAGCCATCAGAAGGTAGTTAGTGATCTTGGATTTAGTTTCGGCAGTCACTTCAGTAGACCCGATCTCCTCGCACAGTCTGCCGAGATCGTCATCTGTGGTATTATGCATTCTATCGAATAAATCCTCGATCAGTTGTCCGACCAGTTGACTCCTCATGGCGGGGCAGCTGCAACGCGATTCCGAAGTTATGAAGCTCATGCTATGGTGCATTCTTCCGTAATCAGACTTCTTTGGTACAGCATTGTATATAGTGTAACCTTCATCCACGTACTCAGTCCTCTCAGGTTTTAAATCAACTCTGGACGCGTGGAACTGTCGCATAGATTCGCTTCTCATTTCTTCGAGTTCCTCCGTCTTTATGGATAGTTCGTGGCTTAATGTTTTTAGTTTTTCATCGCACTTCCTCTTGCATTGGCTGAGAGCTTTCTGTGTCAACGCTAGCTGCTTTTCCAGAGATTCCACCTAGAACATACGTCTCGTATAATCTTCTTCCAAGCGTTTCTTCGATGCACCGTTTATTAAACGCGAAAGCAAACATGCAAAGCCTTTAACCGCAAAGCATTATTAAATTAATCTGAAATATTAATGGATTTCCTTTGGAAATTGTTGTAATAAAAGTAACATTAAGTTACATATAGAGTTATAGAAAACCATAAACATTTCCGATTTTAAATGAAATCCCGCGATATTAAAAAGCTATAACCATATTCTAAAACATAATAATACCAAAGCAACCCAATCACACAAACTAAGTACTAAATACTACACGAACTAAACTATTGAAGTTAAGAACATACATATATTATAATAATATTAATATATATATATTAAAATGTACGTAAAATTTAAAAACTTTTTAACTACATCGTAATAGTTTTTACTTAAAAATACCCATATTTATTTTAAAAACATTTTTCTTGAATTTATTGTATCCTTTTATGTTTTTCATCATTTATGGATAAAAATAATTATTTTATAGCTAGAAATTTTTAAGAATAGCTTTTTCTTACTTTAATATTGAATTTCACGTAATTTCAACTGTATTTTCTTCTCAGAAAGTGCTTTAAAAATAATGTTACCTCCTCTCTTAATTCGCTATTGGTAACTTCAAGTTCTTGATTGTTCTTGCAAGCTCTGTTCAGTTCTTTCCTGATGCAGTCCAGATCTCCCAGGAAGTTGACCTCTGACTTGCGCGACACTTCTCTGTGACTCTTCAGATCTTCATCCAGCTGCTTGTTCATTCTGCGCAGTTGATCTATTTCTCTCTGTAAAGGATAAAACGTGTTTCATACTTGATTTAACCGCGAGTTTCCCCATTTTTGTGACAGAATTTCGTTTATTTTTTTTGCGGATTAACTAATTTAGAATTCATTGTTTAAGTAGGTACGATATATACAAAAGATTATTTTTGTAGCCTATTTTTTATCATATAACTTATCATTTATTATATAGAACCTAATTGTTGGCTTCTGAAACCAAAAACATGTATAGAACATATCTTCATCGCTCTCAATATCTATAACAAAACAGAGATAACAATATTCTTTACATAAGGATATTGGTCTCGGAAACCGACGATAAAATCTTTTATGATATCCTAAAAACATCCTACAAAAGTTTCAACATCTTTGCAATTATTTTAATAAGACGAATACCTAAAATTAGCATTGAATTTCCTAAATACGGTTACAAAGTTTTTTTTTACCTTAAATTTAG